TTAGGGAGACCACCCCCACCCGAGTATAGCGGCAGTTTTCTTCTATCTTTTCCTAGTGTGCATCGCGTAGAGGTATGAACGAGTGGTTGTTAATTTAATGCATCGATCGATATGAAAAGCACCCCAAAACCTCTTTATTATCTGGAACATCCACTAGATCACACCACGTCAACAAAAAATCGTTGCCAAGCCAATTGATGTGTCGTTGTTCATAGCTCTCCATAAGAGGACAATCAATCCTCCCGGAAGCAGCTATCGGAGGAAAATTTATCCAGTTTGTTCCGATACGTGGGTCTTTAGGGTTTTTGGGAGCTTTTGTCTCGTATGCACGTATACATCTATACTCGCGGGAAAAAGAAGCGGTGAATCACAGAAGGAGGAAAATATGAAGAGAGTGACGAGCCCGAGAGGCGAGAGCTCGTGGAAATTGAGATAAGATATACGCATCCCTCCCCCTCTGTTATTTTTAAGGTAGCAAGAGTAGGGGAGGGGGAGGGAGAGGGCACGCAGACGGTCGAGATAGCCTGGGATGAAGGAGCGGAGGAGTGAGGTTTTCTTAACTCTCAAGAGGAGGAGGTGGAGAAAAGAGACAAAGGCAATAAAAGCCGGCAGGAGTTAAAACTGCTCGAACAGCGGAGGTGGAGGGGGGGAGTATAGTCACCGGAATAATTAGGAAAAGCGACGAGAGGATGGGGGGGGGAAGGGACCGAGGGCGGAAGGTTCGTTAAAATGGGAGGAAATATTTTGCGACGAGTAGCGCGGGGGTGTTTAACGAGTTGCGGTGGCGAGTGGAATTCGTTTTCTTGTTTGCGCAGTGATTTTGGGGGCACACGGCTTCGTTAAATAGCCACCTGCACACGAATTTCATTGGAATTCAACCTTAGCAACTATATAGATCGATAATTTGATGATGTGTGTCCAAGGGAGGAGGAGAAGATTTTCCAATGCATAGTTGGCGGAAAATTCGTAGAGCGGAAACGAACGGAAGAAATAAGACTGGATGGTTACTGCAAGTTTCAGTGACTATGAGCTTTCGGTAGCTACAGAGAGCCGGTGCGGTGAGTACCTATAAAAGTATTTTTGAACTTTTTTTAATCAAGCTCAATTTAATTTTTCATAAAAAAAAAAAAAAAAAATTAATTATCGTGCAATAAATTCTAGAATCAACATCGTTCACTTTTGCGTTTAAAAAGCTTCGAGTCCGGAGCGAGCGAATTTATAATACGCGTTTTTCAGCTCAAGGCTGTTGCAGCAAGGGGTAAAACGCATCTTGCACGGCACATCTCATTTTCTCGGCGAGCGAAAAGAAAAGAAAAGAAAAAGAGCGATTTAGCGGCGCGAGGCAAAAGCTCGTAGGTCAAAAGTAAAAACTCGGCTCTCGCACGCACGCGAGAGTGAAAAAGGACGGGGGCAGTAAAACACGGCGATAGATAGAGGGAGAGAGAAATCCGATGCGAGTAATCAATTTTCAGCCACGCACGAGGCGCGCATTACTCACCCGCGCGACCCTCTCCTCTTCTTGTGCAAGTGGTGTATGTTGATGCTGGCACTGGCACGTAACATATATATAGTTATAGAGTCGAGGTTTAGAGTAACGCGCACAGATGAATAAACAGGTTCCACTCTCTCTGCCATGCTCCACTGTACAGTCGCTTGAGAACGAGGTGGAGGCATTTTTCCATCGACGCGGTAAAAGAAAATAAGGGAGGAAGGCCGGGGGGAAGCGTGTACGCGAGGAACAAAAGAAAAGAATAATAATGACAAGAGTACAGCTATATAAGTAACGAGGGAAGCACTTGCGGGGTGCATTTTTACATATTATATGTGTACGGATGATCGAGAAATGCGCGACGACCAAGAGGAGAGGAGCAAGTGCAGTAGCTACGTCTTGCTACTATACACGGAGGGGCAAACAGAGCGTACAGCACAGGGTTATTCGTTACGCGGTCTTGGGTGTACATATATAGGTATAACATATGCACGTAGGTATGTGGCTTTATAATATTTCAAGCGCGCACCACAAAGAAACTGAGGTAGGGTTGGGGGGGGGGAAGAGAGAGAGAGCACCGATTTATCCTCTATTTATTAGGTGCTTATCGCGTGCCTCGAGCTCCACCATCACGGGTAGAGCAACGACTCTCCGCGGGGATTATTCGATATGTATGTGTGTGTGTGTACATACCCCTTTCCTCTTACTCCCTCCATATGTACAGGGTGAGATGACGAAACGCGAATACCGGAATTTGCTTTTGTGTCTCTCTCTCTTTCTTTTTTTTTTTTTCTTTTTTTTTTCGCTAAAAGGACACATGCAAATAGGGTATGGATGTACAAAGCCTCCCCCTCGCACGATCCGTGTACCGTACCTATTACTTCGGTGGAGATCGGGGGGGAGGAGAGTTTAATCGGGGAATTATGTTACGACCACCGGCACCCGAGCGAGATTGGATTTTATTTTTTGAATCCACTTAATCCGCGACAAGACGAACTGCGGGGGTTGGATATGTATAACTTTTGCGTGTTTCACTTTTGCCACGGGGAGTACCAGGGGCTCGGCTGTATTATTTTACGGAGATTGCGTAAGCGCTGCATATCGACGATGGTAAAAAATAAAAAAAAAAATAAAAAAGCGCGGGGAGATAAGAAAAAGTGGAGGGAAATCGGGCACGATTCGTGGGGAAACCAGGGTCTTGAAAAATGCAACCAACCTGCCACTCGACTCGAGCTGTATATCCCGTGCTTTTGCTAAAAATTACTCGGGAGCGGGAAAAATGGTTCCGCAAGAGTTTCCCAGAGAAATACGTAACGCAGGTCGACCAAAGCTACAGCAAACTATTTTTTTTTTTTCCGTCTTTCTTTACCCCGCGGGGATACAACGGGCAAAGCATCACCTATACGCGTTTGCCGCAGCTATTCTATTTGCGAAGGGGGAGCCGCTAAGGAGCTGGGCGGTCGAGGCAACCTCTCGGGAGGAAAATCATCCATTTTTCACACGCCCCCCCTCCGCGCGTCTTTATACACGTATAGAGACAAGTATAATGCCGTGGCGTCGGTGATGTCTGATAAAAGTAGGTCACACAGAAAATGAAGTAACTCGCGCGAGCGCGTGTGTGTGCCAAGTACCCACACGACATTACACAAGGTGTGAATATGTGAAGGCTGGACCGCCGTGGGGTGAGAAGGGCAGGGAGGATAGATTGGACGGGCTGATAGGCAGATTGGTGGGTAGAGCACCGACGATGACCCAGACTCTCTCTCTCTCTTGAGGAAATTGGAGCTGCGTTGGAGGATTATAAACTACCGGTGCGTGCTCTCCTCTTGTATTTTTTTTTTTTTTTTTTTTTTTTTGCGTTTTCTCGCAAATCGGCACAAAATCGGCAAATCGTCAAAAGCATCTAATCCCCAAACTCTGACGGCACTTTGAACAAGTCACAGGTTTGCGTTGCAAAGGATAGAAGTGTCAGGTGAGTAGAGCCGAAGGCCTGTGCACCGTAAAACAAAGAAAATGCGCTTCCGCGACCTCGGCTAGGAAAAGACGCGCGCGCATCGCGTCACGCTGAACAAAGAGCAGACGAGGGAATATAAACATCGCACAAATCCTGGAGGAAAAGAATCGGAACGGAATATATCTTTCCTCCTCCTTTTTTCCCCCCATCGACTTTGCGCGCACACATTGAGTACATAGAAGGGATCTTCTCTCCCCGGGTCTTTGATGGCGCATTCCGCGCACCGTTAAGAGGGTGGAAAAACGAGTGGAAGGAACTCTCTTCCTCTTTTAACTCTCGAGCAACGAGTTTCTGGTCTCCCCCCCCCCCTCTTCGTCCAGCTTTTTTTCACCCTCTTTCGTGGAGGCTTTGGGTATTCACTCCCTTTCTCTCCCTCACGGCGTCTACAAACTTGTACACACTTTTGCTCTGCCCCTCATACGTTTCGATCCCTCCTCATCCACCACATTGTTTCTCGAGATCACAACCGGCCGGCCGGTGCATCATCGTCGTGTGGGACGTTCTTCCATCCACTAATGATGGATCGATCCGCTGTACCCGGAAATTGGCTGCTGCACATCTCACGCGAAAACATCAGGGGAGGGGGGTTTATTGTTAAATCTTCACACGCGCCTTTCACGTAACGAATCAATCGAGAGGGGGAAGGAAAAAAAAAGGCCCGAGTTAGCGGCGATCAAATTTTCATCGTGGCTCGTTGCCTCTCCCTCTTTGATCATTAAAAATGCCTCGGTAAAATCTCGCAACGGGAGCACAAAGGAGCTCTCTTCCTCCCTCGTCTCCCCTCCATCATGAGTGCCTATATACACAGCAGTGAAACGCCGTTCTAAAATATTTAGAGAGATTGCTTCTGCTCGAAACTCATATGTATACCGTCGTATAACACGCTTTGCCTCGCGGATGACCCAATGACCCGGTTTATCATATACATACGTATCCGTCTGCTGCACTAACACGGGAAAACACCTGTGATCACGTGTATTTAGGCACCGCCTGGGTCGTTCGGCGACTCGCGTTTGCCCATCGAGGAGAAACAAATCAATTTTATGCATACATATATACAGAGGAGGAAAGAAGAACCAGCCGATCCGCGTTATGTGGTACTGGGGAAGTTTCTCTCGCTCGCGAAATAATCGGAGGGTGTGGGGTTGTCGGATGCGTCGAGTGACGCGAGGGAATACGTGTCTCTCTGTTGACTTTATACACGGTTATATACGTTGTGTTTCTCGATATGATTTTTCGCGTCCGTCGACTCTTTCCTCCCTCCCAGTGGGCTCTGAATTGAATTTTCGCTCTTTTTTTCCCACCTTTTCATCTCTGTGCTGGTAAGACTGATTCTCTGCATCGTGTATGATCTGACGTATATAGCAGGGAAATAAAGCGTTTCAAATTTGCATTGGTTTTTTGTTTGTTTTCAACTCATTGGTGATATGAATGGCAGGTGAGAGACTTTTTACGCTGTTTAAATGATGTGGATAGAAGAGTTCGTGGACTACTTACGAGGCTTCGTGATATCCTGGGACGGTGCTTGAGCCAGCTGTAAAAAATATAATAGAGTCTAGAATCATTACGCTTTGGCTTCTTTGATCGGTGCATTTCTACGGAAACATATTGCATTTCTCTCTATATTTTAACAATGAACAAGGTCAAGATCGGCAATGAAGGAAAAAGAAAAACAAAAACAAAAAAAAACAACCGCGAGCAAACTCATCTCGCGAAGAATAAGGAAGAAAAAAAAAAAGGAAGGAAGAAGCAAAGAAAGGCTCCACGAGCCTGGAGTTGATAAATTATTCAATGCGTCTCGGAGCATTTTCATGAAATGCAAATGGGAGCACTTTGCGTCGCCGCGCGCGAGCGAAAGAGCAAGTGTATATGTATATACATATATCCGTATTATACCGTACCTTGGTGTAAACTTGATTGAAGCTGAACTTCGGCTCGGGGAACTCTTTTCGGGGCGTCTGGGCGATGGCGGTCAACGGCGTCGGTGGCATGCCCATTTCCTGAAACAAAAAAACATAGTGCAACCCGTTAGTTTGACGTAGTTATCTGTTGTTTTAATTGGACTCTGCACTAAAGCGCAAATTCGCTCAACACATAGTTGGGAAAAAAATAAAAAATAAAAAATAAAAAATTGCAACGTGATGCGTAACACGTGACGCGCGGTGTTTTGCCAGTATTATGATTCGGAACCTAAAATCACGTGTAGATGCAATGTGATGTATATTTTTTTATATAAACACACACATACAATTTCGACAAACTATCATCGATATTTACCAATGAAGATTCACAAATATATACAGTGTACAATACACGATTACATTTTCTGATGATAATAAGCGCAAAATTCACCACAGTCACCCACAATTATGTTACATTCAAGTTTGCTTCGCTACCGATCGGAGGATGCACTTTTAAAGGCCATCCAAATGTGACTTCCCACAAATGTTATCACGATTCACAATTCATTTATTGAACTTGCACGTTAACCAAACAATTGTATTATGTCGCTTCAATATCAATTTTGGACTCGTCGCTGTAACCCATTGCGTTGAATATGGAAAAAAAAAAAAAACAAAAAAAAAGTCCTGACAAAACAACGAGCCACTCTTTTTTTCCCGGGGATTCCGAGTGTAGTTTGCGCGACTGAGCTTTGGCTCCACAAAAAACTTGCCACAATAATCAAGCCGCGGAGCCTAGAAAGAAGAAGAAGAAGTAGTTGTCGTTTGCAAAAAAGTTGTCGAACAAAAGCCCGACAGCTCATCCCCTTCCTCGGATAACTCGGATGCGCTTTTTTTTTGTTTTCATTCATTTATTGTACAACGTCATGAAAGAAGGAAGGTTACAGCTGGCTCGCACCAAAAATCTCGCCATCCATTACGTTAGCGACACGGTCGTATACCTATGTATGTGAAAAAAATACACTATATATACGCGCGGGTCAACGACACGAGTGTGGGCAAAATCGACACCTCAGCGTACGAAAATCGGACGGGGTACACTCGAGGCGTGACAGGACGGATGGAGGGATCACGCACAGTTGCACGACCGCACACGCGTATACATGCACACATGCAACGGAACACCCATCGATAGAGGAGGGGACACACGCATAAGCTTTTGGGGCTTCCAATTATTGACAGTCCACTTTTATTGAATCACGCAACCAATTAAATTCGCATATATGTATCCCAATTGTACGATAGAGGAATCGGGAGCACCGCAACTTATTTTCATTTTTTTTTTTTTTTTTCATCTCAAACGTGACGTCTTGTACGATGTAAAATCGAGAACAAAGCCGAGGAGGTGGAGGAAGAGCGGACACGAAGAAATCAAGTACACAACGAGTGCAGCACGGAAAAGCCGTTCGCGAGAAACGCCACTCATCCAATTTTCCCGGTAACAGTTGCCAGACGCGCGTATGCATATTACACGTACACACGTCTGAATCTTCGGTACGTGAATTTACCCAACTGTTTAAACTCTCGTACGGCACACTCCGCAGCCTTACGTATTGATACGCGTGAGCTGCAACGATCGATATACATATAATTCTTACGCGTCGATCAGTCCCACGTGTGCATGTAGTGGCAAACGCGCACTTCGGCTGATTAGAAATTTCGATAAAACATTGAAGGCGAGGAGGGAGAGATATAGGGACGTGTATATGCAATCGGCAAGAGTTGTGCAATCGGTTATGCCAGAGAGAACTGGTTCAAGTGCTCCGTAGCAGCTGCTTCGCGGAACCTTATATCTCCGCGTGCACGTACATTGTCATTTAGAGGGAGCTCGGGCGTAGGGGGTGATTTTTTCCAAATGTGCAAAACGCCGAAAAATGATTTACGAGTCGAGCTGTATGAGGTGAACAAGTGCATTATCGGTTCTGTTGGTTTTTGGGCGACATTAATTTCGGCTCGAGACTCAACAGCGGCGGCGAATAAATCCAACCGCAGTTGTGGTCGCTGGCGGTGCTCGATAGAGATCTAATAGGCCGAGTCTCTAATCCAACGTCATTTATTACCCGACTGTTTGCCTTGATAACTCCATGAGGGTGTAAATTACACGGGTGTTTAGCTCGATGGATAAATTACGTTTAATTAATAATTGCTAGCCGTGTACTCTCGGGACGGACCGGGGGAAGGGAATCTATCGGCCCGTAACTGTAAATTATCAGCAATACCGATCGCGCTGGTATACAACATATAAATATATATATATATATGTATGTGTATAAGCTAATGCAGTATGGTTTTTTGATTTTATTTTCCAACTACGAGCGCAACTTTGTTTCCGACTTGGGATTTATATGTATGCGTGTGTAGGTATAAACGTATATGAGCACGCTATCTGGCGCGCGATCGTTAGTCACGTCGAAAATATTTTTCTCGCGAAATAAATGAAGCAGAGATAGCGAGCGGAGCAATGCAGAAAATGTCCTGTACGCGCGTGCGTCTCTCTCTCTCTCTCTCTCTCTCTATCGTTCGCTCAAACGGACAGACGGTATAGTGCAGAATTCACTTAGCTTCTAATACATGGATGGGTACGTATATATGAAATTACGCGAAAGCTGATCGAGCAAATGAGAATTGGAAAAATCGGTATGTGGGCTAAGAAGCTTGGTAGTTGTAGAATTGCTGAATCAAATGAAAATGGTCTTTGGACCTGAGAAATTGAAGAAAAAAAAAAAAAAAACAATCCATTGAGAGAAAGGAAACAATGATGGCTAAAACGAGCCAAGCTGTTGGACTAATTTTATAAGCCGGCTACTTTCGCATACTCGAGAGAAAGCGAAAAAGAGAACATTATCTAGTTCTCTTTTTTTTTCACAAAAAAAAAAAAAAAAAAAAAAAAAAAAAAAAGAAAGAAAAACAAAAAAGAGAAAAAAAATCACTTTCTCTTCTTTCTCAGCTATATATGCGCGAGTCAAATGCCCGAGCAGAGCGGGGCAATCGAAGCATGTCGCCTACGCACCACTGGGAACTGTTACATATACATTTGTATGCATGTATAGTGCACAGAGCGCGCGCCTTTATTTTTATCCCAGCAACCTTGCCCGATCCATTATTAAATTTTAATTTTTCGGAGAGGAAAAACGAGATGAGGTGGCCTCTGGGACCTTGATGCGAGCTCGTTTGCGCTTGGCAAAAATAACAATAGCCACGAGAGAATAAATACACCGAGGAGCAAACAAAAACGGGTGATTAACGCTCTCGGTGGCAAACGGATGACTTTTGAGCTTTTCACGCGTGTAAAATCGCGATAGAGCTGCAATTGCGAAAGCAAAGCGATCCTTCTCCTTCGACGATGAACAAAAAAAATGTCACGAAACAATCTTCATCACCTGTTGGTTTTTTTTTTTTTTTTTTACAGTTGTCCCAAGTCCATTTTCCTCCGAATGGCCAACTTGGAGCACAAACAGTGGAAGAAAAGAAAAAAGAAAAAAAATAGACAAAACGGAGACCGCGTTTTAGGAAAAGCTCGAGAGCATGGCAGCCGATGGTGTAGGTGAACGGAATATTGCGGATATCCTTTGTTGCGGCTTATTCCCTCCCGTCCATTGTGTCGGTGAAAGGACGACGAAAAATTAAAAAAAAAAAAAAAAAAATCGGACGACGACGACAAGAGTTCATCGCCGCAAAAAGTGTCAAAACAAAGAGAGTCGCGCCGAGAAATCGAGCCATTCGAGCTCGAGATGTATATAAATGCGCCGTGGAGTTGTAAAAAAGAAGGAAGGAAAAAAAAGAAGACAGGAGGGAGAGCACGCGCGCCCCGAGAAGAGGAAAAAAAAAAAAAAGATAGAGGCAAAGAACTCCGGAGGAGAGAAGATTTATGTTGCGCAGCGCCAAATGCCATTAGGGAAATTAAAATTTCTTTTTTCCTCTTTATACGAGAAGGAACGTTTGATTCTCTTCCCTACCTTTTTTTTTTTTTTTTTTTTTTTTGGGGCTGGCCTTCTGAAAGGTGTTCGCAAGGTGGTCGGTGTCTGGTATGGTAGCTTGCGTGGGTGCTTGAACGTGGGCAGGCTCCTGACGGCCGCTTTGCTGTATCACCTTTCTACCAATAAGCGGTTGTACCTCGGTGGCCTAGATTTCTGCCCTATCAACAATATTATCAACAATGATAATAATTTTGCTTATAAAAATAACGATGATGATAATAATGATAATACTAATAATAATGAAAATCATAAATAATTGAGATAATAATAATTATATAACAATAATGATGACAATAATAAGAATTATAATGGTTATAAGGATGACGATAATGATAACGATGTTGACGATGTTATTAATGATAACACTAACAATAGTAATAAAAGTAATAATGATAATAATAAACAGTAAGATAGGCATAGTGTTCAGTTTAATTATGTTAAAGATAATTATTAGAGTAATAATAAGTATAATAATGATGCAATAGAAATGATATTATTGAATGTAGTCATACTTATGATAAAAATGTTCATAATGATTACAATATTGATAAAAATATGTATTATAATAATAACGATAATAATGATGCGAGAAATATTTATGGGGATAATAATGATGATGACGATAATTGATGAGTAAGAATAATGTAAATTATCACGATGATGACGAAGATGGTATCGATGATGACTATGTTATTAATAATAGTGATAATAATAAGGAAAATGATATAAGTAATAAAAATAATGATGATATCAATAGAGATGATAATAANTTTTTTTTTTTCTTTTTTTTTTTTTTTTTTTTTTTTTTTTCCACCAACGACAGCCTACGAACGACACCAAACTACAGCCGGTGTGGTGTGTGTAGGAGTGGATGGCAGAACTGAGGAAATCTTTCTATAAAGAAGAAACAGAAGTAGGTACGAGGAAGAAGAAAAAAAAAAGGGAGAGAAAAGGGCGACGCACTCGTCCGCGTAGCTGTACGCGTGCTTAGTACAGATACAAAGTTACAGTGGTGTGTGCACTAGAAAGTGCAACTATAGGTATAAAGGACGCTCTGCTCCT